TGTTTCTCAGGCTCCCTGCCTTGTTCATTAAGCTCGCATTTGACATTCTTGCTGGGTGTCTGTGTGTGTGCGTGTGGTGTACACACATACGTGTGGTGTGCGTGGAGGTGGGCTGGGGGGAGAGGGGCCATTGCTGAAGTAAAGGTTAACTTCTAAGGCAGTGCCGCTCTCCTGAAATATGGGGGGACATCCCTGCATGTAGGTTTGTTATTACTGGAGCCGAGTGGTGTCCTCCGTAGCCTCTGTCGTGCATCATCCCATTTGCCAGCGGTCACCTTTTAGTCCGGTCAGATTTTAAATGGGGGTGTGAACTGCCTGGTTAGGCTGATGTTGCTGGAGTGGCCCCTAGAGAGAGCTTGAGTTGCTGGACCCTGGGGTCTTAACCTGCTGTCGTCGGGTTCCCCAGAGCCTAGGAATGGGCTGATTTTCCTGAAACTGCATATGTTTTGTTTTTGTTTTTGTTTTTGTTTTGGAGTAAGGTGTGTAGTTGTCATCATATTCTCAAAGGAGTCCCCTAATTTCTCGCCCTAGCTTAAGGTAAAGGGCATGCCTCAAAGTTCCTGGCGAGTGGAGAATGTATCGTGGTTGAAAGAGCTTAAGAGAAACATCGTATCTTACATAATTCAATATGTAAATAAAATGTATTTGAGTCCTGTAGAAAGAGATGGATGTGTGTCTTCCACAGAATGCCCACTGGGTACAGCTCTTCTCACGCTGGATGTGGCTTCCAGGGCTCCTGGGTATCCTTAATTCAGGGTCGGTGTCATCATTTTAGCCACGGTCCAGTTTATTTGCTTAGCGCTGCTTCAAGATAGGTTTCAAGACAGTAAAAGAAGCCATGCACTCCATATTGTTTTCTGTACCGATACCTGATTTGACTGGAACTTCACCGCAGTCCTTTTATTGAAACTGAGGAATTGGATTGGTGATACCTAGGCTTGAAGGAAGCAGGTTTTAGGATTTGCAGCCTGCACCCACATCCTCTTGGGGCCCTTCTTTTCTAAAGATTTTGTCTATTTTTTTCCAGATTCTAAGTAACTGTCTCCCTCTCTCTGATTGTCCCATAGATTCCCTGTAAGGAGCCCCCGCCAGTGTGCCAGACCTCCCAGGGGCCGTCTGCCCGACTGCGCCTGACTCCGGCAGCGGGGCCTCCGATGGCAGTGGGCACCTCCCTGTGAAACTTGCCAAGCTGGACGCCACAGCTCTGCACGACGTCACTTTGGCCAACCCTGTGCCCCCTTCGGAGGCGTGCAACCATGCAGTCCTAGCCTGCAGCCCGGGCGTTGCTGAGGAGCACTATGTAAGCGAGGCTGCGGAAAGTGCTCCCAGCTGCCGAGGGTACCGGGATGCCTGCACCATCACCGGTATGGGGGCCGTTCCCTGCCAGGGAGGGCGGCAAGGAGGGCGGGCAGGCTGGAGGCCTGGGGAAGGGTGCAGCCACGGGAGTGGGTCTGGGGGAGGAATGTGGGAGTCTGATCTTTGGGATTGTGAGACTGACCATCCAGAACCAACCTGCTGAGATGAAGACAGGACCTCATAGAACTGTCTTGAAGGTTAAAGATGGGACCATGGAACCCAGGCCGCATACACTGAGCAGTGCCTGGTATAGTGTGGCCCTCGCCCCTTCTCTCTGAGGCTCAGGGTCTTCAGGCAGAAGAGAGATGTAATGGGAATAAGACACGGCGGTGCTGAGGGCATGCAAAAATTGGAACCGCACAAAGCAGTGCCCTTTGTACACTGTTAAGATTTGTGCAGACATTGGTTCTTGCAGTTGCCCGTGTTAGTCACACCGTCCAGTGCCCCAGGGACAGGGTTAATCACGTCCCAGTGCACTGGCAACTTCTGCTGTTCAGGCTCATGCTGCCAGGGCTCTTGCCTGTTTCCTTTCTTTGTGTATGTGTGGGGGGTGGTCACTGACACAAGTGCTTGGAGCCATAATTTCAGTTAAATCCAGTTGCCTTCATATTGAAGTTTACCCTAATGCTCATTTTTGTCTGCAGTGTTTGCTTTTGTCCTCCTGTTTGAAATAATGTCTAATGGCAGTTTAAAAATACACCTCTTTGCTTCCAGTAGCTTTTCACTGTTCGATCTTACCGGTGAAGCATTGAGGGGCTCCTGTGTACCAGGACTTTCCTGAGTATGGAGGTGGGTGGGGGATGGGGGAAACACGCGTGCAGAGATGGCCGGATCCCAGCCTGTGTGCTGAGCTCCCGGTTCCTTATGGGAGCGACGCTCCCTGCTTGTGCAGTAATCCCCAGCCCCACCTGCCTGCTCACTGACGGATACGGGTTCCAGCGTTTCCCCTCGCTCATGGGTCTTTCCTATTAGCACAAAAACATGCTGTGATCTCTCCATCCTTAGAAAGAAGCCTTCTTGGCCCCACTTTCCCCACAGCCAGTGCCCATGTCCCTGTTCCTCCGTGTTCTGACTCCATTTTCTCCCCTGTTCTCTCCTGCATCCGGAGCAGGCAGGCTTGCGATCCCACTGTTCTCCCAGCACCGATAACCTTGTTCGGTCCAGGGGTCCGTCCTCAGCCTTCATCTTCTTGCCTTTTCAGCAGGAGTGACCCGGCCACCACACCCTTCTCCTGGAAACCCGGTCTTCTCTTGGCTTAGGGTACCCACTCTGCCGGCTCTTCCATCTTGCCGGTGGCCCCTCTGCTCCCCCCAGACCTGGGGATGCTGGAGGGACTTGGGCTCAGCCTTTCCAGCCCCTCGCTCCCCCGGGTACACCCGTGCCCAAAGCGATATCACCCAGTCTCCAGTGTATAAAACCTGCGTCTACACTGACCACTGCCCCGTTCCTGTCCTCACCCTGGACCCTCACCCCGAAAGCCGGACCGAGCGGCCTAACTCCACATACAGCATGTTCACTTGGATGCCTAAAGGCATTGCAAACTCACGCAGCCAAAAAATGGACTCCTGATTTCCACCTCCACCTGCTTTCCCTGTCTTTACATGTGGTTCTTGGCTCCTTCCAGTTGTCCAGGCCAAACACCGGGAGGCATCCGTGACCTCTGTATTTCTTTCACACCCCAGTTTGCTGGGCTGTCAGTTGGCTCTCTCTTAAAAGTGTGTCTGAAATTTGACTGTTTCTCATCAGCTCCACAGCAGCTACCCTGGTCCAAGCCACCTTCATCTCACGGCTGGATTATTGCTTGGGGCTCCTGCTCCTCCCACCCCACCCCTGCGTCTGTGCAATCCATCCTCCACCCAGCCATGAGAGAGCCTTTTAAAATATAAAGCCAGATAGTTTAACTCTCCTTCAAGCTTCTCGTGGGCTCCCATCTGCTGGTGGCCTGCGAGGGTCTAGGCGATGGGGCTCCCCTGCCCCTCTGGCCTGTCCCCTCTGTGCCTGCTCCACGCCAGGCACGCTGGCCTTCTTGCTCGCCCTTGGACACACAGGAGCGGGATCCCCCCTCAGCGCCCTAGTTCTTGTGGGTGCCCGGCACCTGGATCACCTTAAACCCCATCACCCTCATGATCTCCTCTTTCTCCAAATGGCATTTCATTAGAAACGTGACCGCCCTACATAAGGCGTGGTCCCCCTACCTCTCCCACTTTATCTTTCTCCCCCAGCTTAGCCATGAGCTACCACGCGTTTTCACTTTGCTACATTTGCGGTAGAACGTCCACTCTTCGAGGGCAAGGGCTTTGTGTCCCTGAATCCCAGTGACTCAAACAGTGCCTGCCTGTGGCCAGCGCTCAGTAAACATTTGCTGGGTAAATAAATGGTGTTATTTCATTATTACTGCATCCGCATGAAGTGGGGACTATTATCCCCTTTTGACAGGTGAGGGGACTACATCACGAAAGGCTCAGCATCCTGCCTAAGATGCCTGAGCTCTGAGGGGTGAGACTCACAGCCAGGCCATGCCCCCGGAGCACGTGTTCTTTGCCACCCCGCAGTCCAGTCCAGCTGGGAAGACAGATGAGCAAGTGGACTTTGGTTGTGCACTGTGGTTAGCACAGTGATAAGCACGGGCACGCAGGAGCGCTCCAAGGAGCGTGCCTGGCTAAGCCTTGGAGGGGAAAGGATGCGGGGAAGGCCAGGAGGGCTTCACAGAGGAGGCAGCGTCCCAACTGCTTCTTTATTTGTCTAAACATGTGAACTAATCTCTGGGATTATTGTGGCGTCTGTGCCAGTGAAATCCAGGAGACAGCCAGCCTGTTAAAGCAGTTTCACTCTTCTTTGAACGTGACAACCGTGGGCAAAGGAATGGCAGAGTGCAGTGCTGAAACCGCAAACCCTGGAGAACTGGAGGTTCTCGGCTGGGACGCCTGTGGCAAGCACCGTAGGACAACTGAGAAGCAGAACTCAGTGTGGTCATGTTTGGCAGTGGCTTGGCAACAGGAGGGTACACACAGGCAGTGTGACGCGTTTAAGGTGCTGGGCAGCCAGACGCTACAGATCACGCTCAGCTTAGAGTTTCACTAGAGCTCGCTGAGAGGAAGACACAAAATGAAAAACATTCTCGGAGAGACCTGCAGTGTCCCCGAGCGTGCCTATGTGGGCTCCGAGGGCTTTGCCAAGTGCAGTCCCCGGAGACTGCTTGGCACCCGGCCTCCAATAAATGCACTCCGCCCCCGGTTCCCAGTGAGCGCTGAGATTAACAGCAGACTTTTGTTTCTCTTTAAGGGTTAGGAAAAACCAAATGCCCATTACAAAGCCCTGCTCCCCTACCCCCAACCTGGGAATATCACATTTTCGGGTGTGTCGTTTTCTGTTTGGGGTGGTTTTACAAGATGTACCAACAGGGCGCCCAGGCTGTCTGGAGTTACGTAACCCATTGTGTGTCCAGGGCAGCTCACAATCCTAGGATTTGCCCCAACAAGCAAACTCAGAAAAGTGCTGAGGAAGGTGTGCGACGGCAGCTGTGCTGAGGTGCTGCTCGGCTGGGCTCTTGGGGAGCAGAATTTCTTCTCTCTCTGGATTGCCTTTGGAGTTCATTTCTGCCCATGGCATTGCTGTTTCAAGTCAGGCAGCCCACAGGGGCCCAGCCTCTGCCAGGGCCCTGCCCAGGCAGGCACATTCGGACAAACTCGCGTGGTAAGTATGTTCGCCTGTTTGGCTGCTGTTTGTTGTCTTTGTGGTGTGGCCGGAAAGGAGAACAGACCACAGGGGATGTCATTTATGCCCTGCTCAGTTCTGCTTGCCAGGTTGTCCGTGGACATGTGATCGGGAAATTTCCATATTGAATCGTTGACAGGCTGCTCGGCCCTCGTCCCCTCACCCAGGCTCAGAGGAGGCAAGAGACGTGGGGCCATGAGCAGCAGGTCTGTATTGGCACCAGGCCTGCTGGACTCAGACCACCGTTTCCTTCGCCATTCTTTGCAACGGCTAACAGCATCACTAAGGCCCCCTCTGGCCTCTCCAACTCTGCAGTTCTCCTAAAACTGTGCCTTTATCCTGATTTCTTAGAGCCTTGCCTGGTGTCTGGGTCAGGAAGGAGGTTTTCAAAAGGTGAAGAAACAGGGCTAGACAATGTTTCTTTCCTGGCTTCTCTCCTTTCCGCCCGCAATTTCTTTCTTTGTGTTTTTTTTTTTTCCTTACTATTAATAAATGTGCTTGGCCCTGTACTTCCGACGCACACCTCAGTGATGGAGAGCTTGCTAATCAGTTCTGCCGTGGCTTGTCACCCTGGGGCTGACGTTTTCTCCTCGCTTCCTCTGAGCTGGTCAGAGCCTAACTGTTGATGACCCGCCTGGTTTCTGTCCTGTCTATATACTGTTACCCCAGAGCTGTCTGGGCCACACACCAATGAATTGCTGGGAGGTGTGAGCTCCTCTGGTCCCGGCCCAGTCAGTGTTAAGTGTCGAGACATACGAGACTGATTGTGGAGACGATTATGGAGATGCCATGAATGCATGTGTTTCCGTGTGTGACTGCAGGCTCGTTCAGTAATTCTGTTCAGCTGGCGTTGTTCATGGCCAGCTTTTGGCTGGGGTGCATTGAGGACAGCTGGCCTTGCCCCAGAGCCTTGGAGGTGGGCAGAGGTGTGAATGACTAGAGGTGACTCTGTTGAGAATGGCTCCAAGTAAGCATCTAGCAGCATTGCTGCCTGGGCGTCTTCATCGTCCCATGGTCATCATTTAGGATTTAGTCCTTTTCTCTCTCTAAGTTAAGCCATCAAACCCCAAGGATTTATTGTCTGAAAACATGCTCCAATAAAATATTATGGACTTCTTGTATGAGTTACATTTAAGGTCTTGCTTATCAATCTCTGTCTAGTATATATTTTTTTCTTTTAGTGCAAATTGTAATTTTTAAAAAATTTGATTATGTTTGTTGGGGTGACACTGGTTAGTAAAATTACATAGGTTTCAAGCGTACATTTCTATAATACACTATCTATATATTGCATTGTGTGTTCACCACCCAAAGTCATAGTATGCAATTTGTAATATGTTTTCCATTGAAAATTTACCATCGAATTGGTATTTACTTGGCTAAACGAAACAGAAAAGAATAGACAGTGAAATAACCCCTTCTTTCACAGAGTGAGATGTGAATTAGAATCTAGGACATTATTTTTTTTTCTAAATTTGTAAGTTAGAAATGTTTTTGCTCCTTCTCTTACTGGAATCTCCCCTATTTAACAGTTGATTTGTTTTTGCAATTATAATGTGGGGGTGGGGGTCCCTTTTTTGCTGATTTCTAGAGCTAGCATTTAATCTTTAGCAAAAACACAAAAACTTTCACCTCTTTTAAACGTGCTGTGAATGATTTTGGGGGTCACCGCTGATCTTGCTTCCCCTCAGTTCCTCATCATTAGGTGAGCAGAACATTTATCACACAGGGTTTTTGATATAAATTGTAACATTTAGTTAAAATGTATTAGTAAGATTCTTGACATGCATTTGATACATTTTTATCCTTCTCCTAATTGGTTTTCCTTCTCAATTTGAAACAAGACTTTAATGTATCTAATGTATTTGTGTTAGTCTTTGCCCACTTGAAACTATTTTAGGAAGCTGGCAAATAATAAATTATAATTAAAAAATTAAAGAGTGCTCTTATTAGAGACTTAATCAGGGGTGCTTCGCAAGACTTCAGAACACTGATTGTAGCCACACATAGAATCCCTAGTGGTGTTCCTTTAGAGGCTAAGGTTTCATAATGGATTTTACATTAAATTGATTTGCAAGTATGAGAGCCAGCGTCAGTTCAGAAGCACACACACTTTGTCAAGGGGCTCTCTTTTCACTGTGACCAGACCAGGGTTCAGAGGCAGTGCTGGCTAAGCGGCCGGACATGGGCCTCTGCCGTTAGCACCCCATTCTTCCCACACAGCCAAGTTCTGCAATAGGGGCTTCTCAGGGATTTCCTTACAGAGGGTGCAGGGTGCAGTGTGTCCCACCAGAATCAGGCCTCGAAGGTGGGTTTGGATGCACCCCTGGCCACACGGTTCACTGGTGACCCTGGGACTCATAGCCCCATGAGGAGCTCTGAGTCAGAAGCTTGTCTGTGTTGTCTGACTCTTGCTCCTGTGTGGACACTGACAAATGAGCAAATCTGGCTGCAACTATCATGAACTGAAACTTTATATCTGTCACTAGACCTGGAATGAATCAGGTTTCATAAATCCTGTATTAGGACTCTCCAGAGAAACAGAACCAACGAGGTATACGTGTATATATAAAGTGATTTATTATAAGGAATTAGCTCACATCATTATGGAGGCTGACAAAGTCCCAAGATCTGTAGTCAGAAAGCTAGAGACCCAGAGGAGCCAGTGGCGTAGGTTCAGTCCAAAGACCAGCAGGCTTGTGACCTAGGAAGAGCCAATGTTTCAGTTCGAGTCCAGAGGCAGGAAAACACTGATGTCAGCCCAGAAGCAGTCAGGCAGGAGGAATCCACTCTCATTCGAGGAAGGGTTGGCCGCTTAGTTCTGGTCAGACCTTCAACTGATTGGATGAGGCCCACGCTAATGCAAGAGCAAACCTGGTTTACTCAGTCTACCAGTTTACCAATTTAAATGTTAATCATTCACAAATATTCTCACAGAAAAGCCCACAATAACGTTTGACGAATGCCTGGGCCTTTCGTGGCCCCATCAAGTTGCCGCATATAATTAGCCGTCACAAATCCTAACAGAGGCTGACTCCGAGCAGTTGCTCTGTGCCTGAAAGGCTTCCAAGTACTGCTCTGGCGACGCATTTTTGTCCTCAGCACAACACTGCCAGGTGGGAGCCACTGTCACCCGGGCTTGTCCTCTCCTGTAACAAGGGGTCCTTGGGGTTTCAACCCAGCAGGGTTGTTTTCTGACCCTATTTAAGTTAACTTCCTTCATTCTGGATTTTTCTTTTAAAATAATTTCAATGAACTAGGGTTTAAAATTATAAAAATAACACACGGAGAAGGTAAAACCTGAAACTACCAAAATGTAGTCAGTACAGAATAACTTACCTGCCATCTATGCAGTTTAACAATTTTAAAAAATCATTCCAGGATTTTTTTTTTTTGCACATAATTATTTTTTCTAAAATTTATGCAAATAACCCTTTTTCTAAAAATCACAAGTGGGACCATGTCATATGCCCTGAATCTGCACTAAAAAAATGTAACAATGTTACTTAGGTTGTTTTTATTACAGTATATATAATATTGCCTTATTCTTTAAAATAGTTACATAGTCTCCCAT